CAATGTGCATACATGTCTTTGAATGAAAAGGTGCTGGATTTTTTTGTGTTAGTCGCCTTTGCCATGGCAACACTGGCGTTCCATTTTAGCGCAAAGCTTGCACCGATCACGTATTCTTGCCGTTTCTAAGGCAACTGGTGTGTTTTTTTTAAAAAGTTTGAATGTAGGGTAGTAGTCCTTGTTTAATTCCCTCGGGCATAAGATTATGTCACTATAATCAGTATCAAAATTTGAGCGGAAAAGATGTATTCTGTATTTATGTTCTATGCATTCCAGTACGTGTTGACATGCAGTTGGCAAACCCTAAAGCTTGGCGCACACTCGTGAATTTAAGACCATGTTACACGGTGCAATTTTCCTTGCAACTTGCAATGCAATTCTACCGTTTAAAGAGATTTGAATTAGTGAGGAGTCTTTAAAATGTAAGCGCCACGGAGCGTAATAAAGACAAAAGTTCGGTAGTTGTCAAATTTACATTTTTTAAAAGAAGAATTGCATTGCAAGTTGCAAGAAAAATTGCACCGTGTAACAGGACATTTAGCATGCACACAAGTCACTCGTGACAATTACCACCAAAACATGTTCCTTTTCTGCGGAAAATATTTGTGATATGCTCTCACTCCTGTCGTAAAAATGAGCACGAATGATAAAATATCTTAATTTGATCCCAGCGGTCTTGGAATATATGTTGGAGACACTTGTCACGGGTGAGATATGCGCGTGCTAAGTTCACCAGTGTGCGCCAGGCTCAAATCTAAAGTGATTAGCATCAGAAACGCAAAGCTATAATAATAGCTCATATACCTTGCAAAGAACATGCAGTAGCACATTTATCTCTTTCGGGTAGTTATTGGGCAAATGTCTCGACAACATGCAACTTGGCTATGCCTAACAACAGACTGAGTTTAATAATAACGAAATTGTCAAAAGATTTTGATGCTCAATATTGCTCTAAAATACTGATGTAAAATTTCAAAAAACATCTTCCGTAACTTAATAACTAACTTCTTAAAACCGTCTAAAACATCGGCGGCCTACCTTTCAAACATCTTTCTTTTCACAGTTCGCAGGACAGCCATTTCTCGCAGATGTGCAGTTTACAAATAACTTATCCAATGATCGGCTCAGGTTTTAATGCATATAATCGCGTAACATTAATAATTCAACAAGCCATTTTGAGGTGTCTCCGCCGTAAAGTGGAGAAAGCCCTCCCATTTTAAATTTAAAGTTTCTTGTCCTAATTAACTCACAGGGGGTTCTTCTGCGACAAAACGTGGGCACCTGTCGAGGTGCATTCATTTAAATTGCACAGTTCCCCTGACCTTCCAGATGGCCAGAACGCACGCACGTAGACATAAATTGGACGCATTTTAAGTTTTTGTTTACTGATTATATACGTTACTCACGGTCGCTGGGGTTGAAATAACACTTCTTCACTTTAGAATTACGCGCCTTTACTTTGGTGTTGTTGAGCACTTTGGCAAAGCCAGTAGGTGCTAATTAGCATATAATGCAAAGCTCACTTCCCTTGTGGTCGTTTGAGCAATCTGGCCCTACTACGCTTTGCGCATGGCTATACACGTAGATGGATCCGTGTTGAATTCACCACGCGCGGTTGTTGAGAGCAAAGGTATGTACTTAAAAACGGTAGTCATCTCATTGTGCATGGATTAAAATTCTTTTTCAAGCCGAAAGCTTAAATATTAGGCATATATTCTTGTTTTTTCTATTTACATTGGTTTGGTTTTAGGTTTAGATTAATATTACAGAGAGATTTTTGTCGGAGGAGCTATTAGGAAAGGAAGAGATATTACAGTTATGTACAATTGCTCTTACTAATCGAATAAAACCTGCAAATTAAAACTCTATAAAGCAATAATTCAAATTAGTGCATGAATATATAGACTAAAACGAGCTACTTGTCTTGAAATTGTTTTAAACTGTATTCAAGCTCTGCTCTGGATCTCTGTAAAGAGCTTTGTAATGGAAGTACAGTCTTACGACAGTTTTGGCAGCGAAAATAATCTCCAGTGGCTTGTATTCAAATAACACCAAGCGAAGAGCTAGGAAAATACAGCAAGCTGCGAGCTGTGCGTGCGTTATATTGCGTTTCAGAAACATCGATCCGAACTCGTTTTGATGAGTTTCAAGATGAACTTCAAATCGTCGGTGATATATTTCCAGGAATACAGTAACGAAGAATAAGATGACGACAGAGGAAATAACGACTTGAAGCCACCGCGGATTTGTTGGGTTCACTTTTCCCGCCGTCAGCATGACGACGCCATCGTAAAGGTCCAACATCGCAGGAAAATATGGGAGAATATCGTGTCCATCTTTGCTAATTTCATTCAGCATATTTACTGGGACTAGCGACACCAAAAGCATTATTGATATTCTGATTCTGACAGAGTTTGCAAATTCCGGGTCGGTCATGAATATTCCGCAGCCGATAGCGCAGAAAATAAATAACAAGAAATACATCAAAATTGTGAACGAATTCAGACTAGTATCTTCCTTTGCCTCGTCAATTCGATGACATAAACCATATTTTTCTTTGATTCGCATAAAAACTTTGATACCAATAATTAGAATGATCGCCCATACAACGATTATCACAATGACGAGAGCCGAAAACTCGAATGAATTGAATGTCGTTACTTCGATGACTTCAAAAGACATGTAGATCCATATTAGCATCGTCAGGAAACAGTTGAACAAGTCGACAACATTGTGTTTCCACGTCATAATGATCGCAGCAAATTTCACGGAAAGATTTCTTGAAAGTATAAAGTATAGTTAGAGGTGTCAGTATGTCAATACGATACAGAGCTGTGCCTCTAAATTACTGTAGGGAATTTCGTTAAATTCAATTCAACAATAAATAGAAATGCAATATAAAGAATGTTTGTTAATTTCAACCCCCTTTGTGTGATACTGGGTTGTTGGAGTAACACAAAATGCATGATTCGCAACACGAATGGCTTTTTGCACCCATGCATAACTGATATTCCAATTTGAATTGAAATTACAAATACATTACCTAAGCTTCGATAAAGCTCTCTGCTGAGCTACAAGTCACAGCAAAATGACACACGTGAACAAAAGTTCGCAAAACGTCGCCACAAACTGGGTAACTTGCTTAGTAGTAATATTTTTTGCGCGAAGCGACTTTATTCTTGGACAATTTGTTCCAGATGGTTGCAGCTGAGAGCTCTGAAACAAAAGTAAATTGTCGCTTCGCGAGAAAAATAGGGAGTTTACGATTAACGACGCGGCCAGCTCGACGACGCGCTTGCAAAACAAAGACACATCACACGCGAGACAATAGGTATGCATATGTTGTGGTTTAATGACAGCGTTGTCATTCTCACGACGCCTTTAAATGAGGCATTTTCACGCCCTCTTAATGACTGTTTGATAGCTTATATGAGTAATGAGTTGATAACTTATATGAAACTACAGGGTGTATAAAAAAAAACGTAACACTTAATATTCATGAATATCCTCTTTGTTCTACAACACAAAAGACGTTTGGCCCCTGGAATGCGAGAAAGCTTGTAATCATATTCTAGCGGCACAATCGTCGGTAAACAAAGTCGAGTGCGTAAACCAACGAGCTGAATTGAAAGTATTTAACGAGTAAAATTTTATTTACGATTTATTTTACAAGGTCGACAGTTAGCATTTAAGTTATCATGCACGACAATAAAAACTTGTTGTTCGGTTGTTAGCTGCACCATTAATAGTTTAGCTTATTTGACGATTAGCAGTTGAACTGTACGATTAGAAGCCATTTTAAAATCCCAGGGGCATAAAATCTATTGAGCTTATGAACAATATGAATTTTAGAATATTAAGTTGTTGCGTTTTTTTTTGAGACACCCTGTACAATATCAGCTAGACATCGGGGGTTCTTAGCACGATTGAAACGTTTGATATGAATATTTCAAAGTCCTAGAAACATAATTAATTTCTCGTAGCTTATTTCTAACAATACAATTGACTAGCGTCGTCGAGCTAACTGCGTCGTAGATCTTAAACTCTCTAATATCGCTAGTGGGAAACCGGCTTTACACCAATGTTCACGAGTGACTTCTTGCTCAGATATAGGTTATATAGCACTCGTGTGCGGCAGACTTTAAGTCAAGTCAAAAAATATAACATAATCTATCCTAATTGTTTGTTGTATTTTGTTCTAGTTGGCGCGGTTCTCATATTAAAACGGATTTCGCATATAGCAACAAATTAGCGAGTTTAAGATGCTCCAAATCTACGACGCGGACGTGATATGAAAATTAGGAAACCATGCAGTAATAATTTGTTTTACATACGGCTCTGACTTTGTTTATCAAAAAGAGTCTATAATTCTGATTCCTGTTGGGAAACTGTGGAAAACTTGAAACACTAATAATAAAGCATCAACAAGAAATAAATTCAAATTAGTGCATGCACTAAAATTTGCATCTCCTAATTAATATAACTCACAGGGGTTCTTCTGCGACAAAACGTGAGCACCTGCCGAGGTGCATTCATTTACATTGCATAATTCCCCTGACTTTCCAGATTGTCAGAACGCACGCACGTAGACATAAATTGGATGCATTTCAAGTTTTTGTATACTGATTATATACGTCACTGTGGTTGAATTAACACTCCTTCACTTCAGAATTACGCTCCTTCTCTTCGGCATTGTTGAGCGCTCTGGCAAAGCTACTAGGTGCTGATTAGCATATAATGCACATCATCGTCTATGATATATTGTTTATGAGACTCGAGGGAAAACAAAATTCACGATTGGCCGATACATTATTGCTTTGTTGTGATAGGAACAAAAACATACATGTCACACAACAATTTCATTAAAAAAACCCACTTAATTTGTTATGACAATATGCGGGCAACAATTTTTCACTTCTTTCCCTGGCGAGAAACATTGCATTTATTTATAGTCAGGTGACTACGAATGAACCAATAACATTTAAAATACACAGCACCTATATAACAAATATATTTATTCCCAGTCACAAAGTCTACCTTAAATAATGCATCTCTACAAATTAGTTTAAACAAATAGTCAAATGTTTTTAAAAATGGCCCTTAATAAACCAGCGACAAAATCAACACATCGTCCTCGACCGGAGGGACATCAATAATTATCCAGTTGTAGCTTTTAGATCAGTGGCGCGGGCATGCAGGCCCTGTCCCCAATCACCGACCGCCAAGCCAGGTCTGCGTCGTGGCTGTTGGCGAGGAAGAACATCGATGATCTGTATTGACACAAGCATAAAATCCGAAATTATCTTCACCCAAATTGCCGCAGGGGTTGTACCCGCTTGGGAAGAAATTACAACCGTACGAAAAATGCAGGGCAGTCGGATGTTTTCGCGCCAAAAATACGGAACAGTTTGAACAGCTATGACCTCGAACATTAATCACGTCCACAACAGCGCATGCGTATGATTTCTGGGGAGCAATCATGATATCCACCTGACTTTTAGTGGCCTGAACGAAATCCCGATAGACCATGCCATCTGTGTCGTATTTGCAGGTCATTCGAAATTGACTCGAATCGTCTTGGATTGATTGCATTCTGGACTTTGAAAGGCGATATGCATCCCAGTGAGGCTTGTCTTCGTTGACGGGGCTATCCAATAGGAAACTTAATGTCCTAAAGGAAGTATTTTGAAACTGATAGGACTGAACCAGCGTCCAAGTCATGGTTGAATTTTGATCAAAATGGCAGAAAACATCAAAGGGCTTCATGTTGCTATCGAGAACCTGGTACGTCCCTGAAACTCGATTTCCGTCGACGTAACTTCGGCAAGACCTGCGTGGACCATATTGACAAAGGTCACCTGTGTAGCCAGGGGGGCAAATGCATTTAAAGCGTGGTGTCGTGTAATCCGATGGCGTGATAGCGTCGTACTTCGCGTTATTATGGCAAACGCCGTCTTGTAAACGACAAAATGGCCGAGTGTTACATCCTGTTTCCATCTAAAATATGATCAATGATAAACGTTAGGAATCGTTATAAAATTGTGATAATGAGGATAATGGCAGTACTTACTAAGCTAGAAACTACAGAATTTGAGAGAAAAATTTGTGAGAAAGTTGCAATTAAAACATGCATTGTATAAATGCAGCAAAAAACTTCGGCAAAACTGCTAATGGATGCTTAGTTCACACCTACCAATTCAAGATCTGGAAGCATATCATAATATGAACATCCATTCATGTTAAGCAGGTCAGACGGTGAGCGAAATTGGTTAGAAGACAACAGCTGACATTCTGTATTCTGAATGCACATTTGAAATGACATACAAAAACACTCTTCGTAGCAAGCCAAGAAACATTCGTCCACAGTCTTCATCGTGAGTTTGCGAAACGCATACCCATAAAGCACTTGGTCTTTCAACACTGTCGTCTTATCAATCGTGTATCGAGACTGAGCCAAGTCAAGATTTCCAATCGTTGTAATCGTGATTATGCAAACAACAACAGCTGTCATATTTGAAAGCAAAGCCAGTCTGTGAATATCAATGAAGACAAATAGAAAACACTTTGTATTTTAGCGTTTCCGATTGTGAAAGTTGTAGAAAATCGAGTACGACTACCAGTCTGCGTTTAAACATCATATGACATATACAAGCTTTTCATAATTCCATTGCAACTTCTTTAAGTTCTTTTGTATACAATATTATTTGCATAACAATTGAAAAACGCGTACTATTATTATTGGTTTCATTTGCGGATATTTCTGATGAAAACAATCTCCCACGTAGCTAATCGAGGGCTTCCAAATGTCGCTTTTCAGATGCAATCATTGATTGACTTTTCTGTTAAGAGTTTAACACGGGGATGGAAACTCCATCAAAACCCAGAAGCCTACATGTATGGCTACACCACATAGAGTAGCATTAGAGAAATTTAGCAAACACGACGTGACGTCTAAGAACTCGCATATGCTTAATATTGTTAATAAATTAGTAAAATTGAAAAGCTTGATTGATTTTTCAATCACATTACAGTAGTCGTTGCTATGAGAACCGTGGCGTTTCAACTTTAAGGCGTCTTAGCAAAGAACCGTCTGTTTTTTACATTTTATTTAGTTTGCTCTTAAACACATTCTTTAAACCATTTCAAAATAGCTTGATGATTAAAGATACCACCATGCTTTCGGTGCAAAATATCGATAACTATACATGCAGGCGTATACAAATTATACCGATATGTTTTTGAAAGCCAGAATTATTAATTTCCGACTGTAAATGGAGTTCAAAGCTTTGAGATTATGCGTGATATTTAGTAATTCATCCAATAAATTATCCAAAAATCGCGTACCTTTTCATTTCTACGGCTACGAACACCCTTTTCAGAGAGTTCTTTAAGACTGCCATTTCTTGCGAAGGTCTGGACAGCGAGAGTACTTGCTTGATAACGCTGCATTTTAATATGTGAAATTGAATACGTTAATTATAGAATATATATACTGCAGCAAAATTAATTTTGTCACCAGGTGGCCCTTAATTGCCACAATAGTAAAAAAGACAGCATGTGTTCTAAAAAAGCAATTTATAATTTTATATCAGTTTATAAAAGCAATCGTATCCTTTCACAAGCGCGTATGTTCTCTCGGTATATGCAGTCCTTCATTTCAAACCAAGACTTAGCATAAAACAATTAAGCAATGACAGCGACTTTTCAACGAAAATATTCTCTGTAAGACAAAAAACTTCACATTTTGAACAGAGAAGATTTTTATACCTGGCAGATGTAAAAGTGCTTCAAAAGGTGTAGTCAATTCTCAATTAATTCATATGACCTCAAGCGGAGAACATACTAGTTTTTCCAAGAAATTTAAAAGCTTTAAATGGCTGCACTGTTATGCATTAAATCTATCAAGCCAAAGTTATTCGTTATCCACATGCAGAATGTTGTGGTTAAGAAAGACTAACTGAGTCATATCCCATGTTAATTCTGAGGTAACTCGTTGGACACGACGATTTCAGACACGGCTATTAGCCAATCAAAGACCGTGAATTCTTCCAAATAAATCACATAATTCTCATTAATATTAGCAAAACAAATTAAGAGTTCGCACATATGTTTTTTAAGCGACAGAAATACTTCCAACACTCGATAAATTCTTCTTTATTCAATTTGATTACAGAGTTCAAGCTCGACTATATTTTGTTTACAACGTTGACTATCCCCGCAAACTCTAAAACCGTACTTAGAGACAATTAATATTTTTGCATGCATATGTTATCTTAGATAGATAGATAAGTAAATAGGTATGGGTCGTCGAGGCCTCACAAAAATTGAACTGTTTGTTTGCTGTAAAACAACAGCACGGAATCTTGTTTGAACTTTCTCTTATACAACTTGCAAATGTCTTCGATTATTTTCTTCATTTTGTTAAATTCGTTGCTCAGGACTACGATATCGAAGGAATCCTCTTTCTGACCTTTCCAAACGCCTTCTGTTTCGACCATTTTAAAGCCATTGATTTTCGGCATCACGTCGTTCTTGATAAATTTGTGGATATCTTTCTGAGGAATCGACACATTTCCGGTCTTTTTACCAAAAGACGCGGTAAAAGAGAACCATTGTGGTGTTGGGGACGAACGCTTCGTCTGTTTGTTCGCGATCCTCGGTGAGCCAAAACCACGTTCAGTAGCCACGCATGACAAAATTAAAAAGACGAGAACACGGCATACGTTTGACGACAGCATTTTCGATTTGTTTAAACAAACTCCTTCCACAACACTAAATTTGAAAGAGTTATTTTTGCATGCTGGTATGAGTATACTGAACTCGTTTTTATAAAACTTTAGACTTCGTCTTATCAATATTTAACCAATATTTGAATAGAATATATTCACAACTTCAAGTCATGCATGCAGGTAGGCAGAAGTTAAAAAGTATCTATCTAAGAAGCTTTTCGACTCAAAAACGGATTAGATCATTAGAAACTGTCTTAACAATTCATGTATCATTTTTTATAGCGAGTATTAGGTCTTTTAGTTGAGTATCTCAGCGATGTGATAACATATACTTTCTGAAGTTCACAAAATACTGTGTATAAATACACTGACTTTTCTATGTCAGAAGACACACGTATATACATACCGAATACTCCTAGATCTTTTAAACTATCGTCCAAGTCAATGATCCCACAATCTGCGAGTTATGAGTGTTATGCGTGTGTTATATGCACACCCTTATTTATACAAATGCACCAATCTTTTTTAAATTTTTTTTTAATCATCCAATTTTTTTAAAAAATTTTTAATCATCCAATGATCGGCTCAGGTTTTGATATGTATACATAATCGCGTACATATTAATAATTCAGCAAGCGATTTTTAAGTCTCTCCGCAGTAAAGTGCATGTGAAACAACAGCTGTTACATTTAAAAGCAAAGCCAGTCAATGAATATCAATGAAGACAAATATAAGATACTTACGCCTGTATTCTAAAAGCTCACTCACACTCAAACTCATTGAGTGGGATCTCTTCTCATAAAGTTTCAATGGCGGTATTTCCAGCCAAACAGGGGCTTGATCTTCAGTGATTTACCTTATATCTTTTCATCTATTCAGAAAAAACTTTCTCATTGATCAGCATTAACGAAATTTATATGTCACACTCGATGAGTATGAGTGTGAGTGAGCTTTTTGAATACAGGCGATAGTGTTTTAAAGTTTGCGATCGTGAAAGTCGTTGAAAATCGTCGTAGGAAATCTACTTCGACTACTTGAGGTGTTTGTTTTAACATCATATACAAGCTTTCATCGTTAGACACTTCTTTTGTGTACAATATTAATTATTTCTATAACACTAAAAAAACGCATTCGATTATAATTGGTTTGATTAGCCGCTATTTCAGATGAAAACAGTTTCCCGTCAAACCAATAGCTTTTAATCTATAGTGCTTCTAAATGTCGCTTTTCAGACGCAATCATTGTCTTTGCTTCTTTGCTTGCATATTCTTTGCACAGAATACCTATCAGAAGAATAACTCTATACTATTTTTTCGTAAGTGTGATTCGTCATGATTCGTCACTTAGCAAGTGCATTTTTTTGAGGTAGTCACCCCCCTGCCAATACTAAAAATGGGTTGATTTTAGACATTGGCAGGGGGGTGACTACCTCAAAAAAATGCACTTGCTAAGTGACGAATCATGACGAATCACACTTACGAAAAAAGTACAGGAGTTCTACTTCTGTTAGGTATTCTGTGCCAAAAGCCTATAACATACATGCATGGCTGTACCACATAAAGTAGCATTAGAGTAGGGCTGCACTACGTGAAGTAGCAAACACGACGTGACGTCTATAAAGTCCCGTTACACTTTTTATGTCCGATTTTCTTCTCTTGATAGCTGTGCATGAGTACTAGCTAAGTTACGATTGCTCTGATATATAAGAAGTTTTGTTATATAGGTGCTGTGTATTTAAAATGTGATTGGTTCATTCGTAGTCACATGACTTTAAATAAATGCAATGTTTCCCGCCAGGGAAACAAGTGAAAAATTGTTGCCCGCATATTATCATAACAAAGTGTTTTGAAATGAAATTGTCGTGTAAGGTAACATGTTGTTTTTGTTCCTATATAACAAAACACTTAATGTTCGCTACACCTCGGGATATAGTGAGTTTTGTTTTCCCTCGAGTCTCAATGTTTCCCTCGACTTCGTCTCGGTAAACATTCAGACTCTTGGAAAAACAAAACTCACTATTTCCCTCGGGAGCATACATTAAGTGTATAATATTTGAAGCTAAAAATGGATTCGTTGGCTATCGCCTTAACCGCCAGGCCATCAGTGTAATTATAACAAAACAGCTATATTCGCCTTGACTTTGTCTCGCTTTTTATTCAGCGATATTCAACTAGCCTTCGGCAAATAACAAGTGTCTTGACATGCACAACTATATGTGTCTTTATGTCTATATGTGTCTCTGACCTTGCATTTATATCTTAGTATTATACATTTAATATATCGATGAACATCATACAAAAGTGTCCATCGTTTCGTGATGAATTAAGGATCCATTTAATCAGTGAATTATCAGGAAAATTGAAACCCGAAATCTTGATATAGAAAACTGAGTTAATCTGAGCCGAACCATGTTTGGGTCGTCGCCGAGTCAGAGGACGAACAGCGATGTTCTGTGTTGACACAAAAGTAATGACCAAAGGCATCTTCACTGTAGCTGCCACAGGTCTTACCACCAGCTAGTTGAAATTGACAACCTTCACTAACTGCCGCATGAGAATCACTGTGCAAAATGTAAAATTCTTGGTGAAAGAACACTGTGCATTTGGAGCAACTTTGGCCGCGAACGTTAATTACATCGACCATATGACACCATTTCTCGTTTTTGTAGGTTAAAATATCCAGTTGGTCGTTGCTAGCCTGAAGATAATCACGATAGATCATTCCATCAGTGTCATACTTGCATGTGAAGCGAAAATGACTTGAATCTTTCTGGATTGATTGCATCCTGGATTTTGAAAGGCGATATTCATCCCAACGTGGGCTGTCTTGGTTTTTAGGAAGATCCTTTGAGTACGGTTTATCGAATGTAACCCTGTGTTTGAACTGATAGGACAGAATAAGGGTCCAAGTCATTCTTGAACCTGAATCAAAATCGCAAAATACCTCGAACAGATTCATGCCTTCATCGAACACCTTGTACTTTCCAGGAATTCGCTCGCTGTTCTCGTAACCACGGCATGATTTGGCCACAGTTTGGCAGAGATTTCCCGCATAACCTGCGGTACAATTGCACTTGAATCGTGGTGAGATGCGATTTGTTGGTGCAATAGAATGATAGGTGCCGCCATTTTGACAGAGATTGATTGAAGGTCGACATTCCCATCCTGCATTACACCCTCCAGCGGGCTTGTCCGGCCGGAACTGGAAATAAGGGAAAATTGATATCGGAGAAAAAAGGGCGAATTTCGTTTTAAACTATAATCGGCATATTTGTTTACCTTTTCTAGGCAAAAGCCAAACAGAATGCCTAAATTTGTAATACTTCATGTAAAATAATGTACCCTTTTACCGGACGTCGTCAAAATTCACGCATTCTTTTAGGTTACTGAAAATGTAAACAAAAGGCCTGCCGATTAGTCTAAAACCAAATTTCCCCCTTTATTATGAGAGATCCATCATTTTCAACATGTATTTAATGCCTGACTGATTTTTGTTGAAAGAGATTGTTTTTACAGTATGTAAACACAAATTATATGAATTTAGCTACAGTGCATCCCCTTTTATACACAACGGCTTTGCACATTTGTGACATGCCCATCCACTTCACCAAGCACTCACAAATAAAATAATTACATTAAATGGAAGAATTCCTGTAAAGAAATGCAAAATAGAGATGGCATAGTCAATTTATTTTTACCTGTTCAAAGTCTGGAACCATGTCGTAATAAGAACATCCCATCATGCTGTGCAGCGCGAATGGTGACTGAAATTGGTTGGAGGACAACAACTGACATTCTGTATTCTGACGGCACATTTGAAATGACATACAAAAACAGTCTTCGTAGCAGGCCAAGAAACATTCGTCCACAGTCTTCATTGCGAGGTTGCGGAACGCATACCCGTAAAGCACTTGGTCTGTCAAGGCTTTCGTCTTGTCCACCATATATCGAGACTGGACGACGACGAAAAACAACAGAAGCAAAATTGTAGCAGTGCATTTAACTGCGTTTAAAGAGGCACTAAAGGGAGAAAGAGGAGAAAAGTTTTGCATGTCACTAATTTTCTTGTCAATCCTGTATTGAGAGAAAATTAAGATAAAAATAAATGCATCACTAACAAGAATATAGCTCTGCGTTCAACTGATGCTCTAAAAATTTAAAAAGAAACCCAATAAATGGTCCATTGATGGTGCGTTTTCAGATTCTTCTGTTTTCAGTGGGCGAAAACGCCGGATACGTGTGGACGATACGCGTAACCGTAAGAATAATCTTGCGTTTTCAAATCCTTCCGGCATCGTGTGGACGTGGCCTTAGTTTTATTCTGAATTACTGTCTTCATGCAAGATGTCTCGGTTTCCTGTTTCGGTTTAATAGTCGATTATACCAAGTTAGATTGTCTTGTATGTATGTATCGATCTTCAACTTAGCTATATATATATATACATATACACATACTGCGACACTAACATAAGCCTAACAAAAATATAAACCTGTCAATGTTTACAGATTGTAACCCTGACTGTTTATTCATTTGCATGGAAAAAAATCATTTACAAACCTTACCGTAATTTCATATCTTCAAAATGAAGGTAAAGAGATTTACACAAAACTAAGGCGCAGAGAAATCGAATGGTGTTCTTTGTATAATTATGCGGATAAAACGAATCACCAGAAATGATTATTTTTTTTATTGATTTTTTTCATTAAGCACCCGCGTTGCCACCAACCGATCTAATCTTTTTTACTTAATTGTGATGAGGCAGCTGCATTTTTTATGGAAGGCGTATATAACTAGGTCTTTGACGTATATTTCTTAATACTGAATGCCAGTTAAGGCGGATTTCCACTTACAGCGAAATCGTTCGCTAGCGAAATATTTGCATATTTTCTTTTGAATTCGAAACAGTCAAGTCGAACTGATTTATTTATGCTGTTAAAATTCAAAAGAAAATATGCAAATATTTCGCTAGCGAACGATTTCGCTGTAAGTGGAAATCCGCCTTTACAGGTTTTTCCACAGGCGGCTTCAACAGCAATGGAATTCTCGCGCAACCAGCGTCCTAATTTCTTACAACGACGTGTGCGATATATGTGTTAAATAATACATATTTAATATATTAATAGTCTTTTCTTGTCCAATATTCACTTTAAACAGACTGCCACTTCTGCGCATGCGCATGGTTCTGCTTATAGATTAATAGCATTCATAGATTCAATTCGAATGTTCCAAATTTTATTGCCTCAAACTCCCGTTTATTCAGAATCAGGAGAACGAACCAATACTTTGTAGATATAAACGGAATAGATAATATTTTTAAGAAAAATATGGCAGTTCAATTCAAACAAAACTTTGTTGATATTACGGGCTATGAACGTTCTTTAAATGTACAGCTTTAATAATTGAAAGTTTTGATTAAAATCTTCGCTGTTGCAGGTATATATCAAGTGTTTGACGAATAGGATTTTGAGAGCGTGCCTAGAAATAGATGACGTAATTTAAAGAACGTTTGTACCAAACATCGCCGTAGACAAAAAGTACAAAAACTGTTTGAAAATTTATGAAAATGGGAAGAAAATATAAAAAAAACAGAGCTTGACTCTCGAAATCAATCGATTAAGAGCGGGAACTTGATAAAGAAATAGGATGATTAAATGAAATTATTAGTCCCCAACAAAGTAGAACTATCGTTTAATGTCGTTGCAAGACAATCAAGAATGTGTCGTCTGACCACCTCATTGTTGTAATATTTCGACTTTATTCATTCTTCAGTGATTTTGAAGTAACAAAAATTGGCCTAAAATTATTGCGAGGTAAAAACTATGTTGTAGAACGCTGCATGCTTGGCAATATTTTGAATAAAACATTGCATATACTAAACTTAGTAAAATTGCCAAGTTTGGCTGCGAAATATTGTGAAGTACTGAAGATAAAGCGAAGCGAAGTTGGCAAATTTTGTATACTTTTGTATTATGGCTGGAAGTGTGTAACTAAATTAATTATACACTTCCGCCCGTAATGGAAAGTGTAAAAAAATTACCCACTTCGCATGGCTATATTTTCAGTATATACAACTCGACATTTTGCAACCAAACTTGGCAATTATACTAATTTCAGTATACTTGTTTGAGCTGTGGTGATATTTTCCCTTGTTATTACCTAAATCATATTATGCAAGTGGTGCAATCTATTAACAAAATAAAGACTATATATAATATGAATAAAATTTGCATTGGATTTACTGAGTCATAATGTGTTTCGACTCATCTACGGTACCTTGAGGCTACTTTCCACTCAAGGAAAAATCTCCTTTGGATCGGACGGACAGGAAAATTTCCTTTGTCGGTGACTTCCCAGGCGGCGTTTATACCAAGGAAACTTTCCCGTCCTGTCCGATCCAGAGGAGAATTTTCCTGAGTGGAAACTAGCCTTTAGAGGAAAGTTAGCAGTTATCAACGTGCCGCAAAGACTGTCTACCTTGAAAGTAAAACTACAAGCTTTGTGTCATAATTTATACGAAGTGCCGTAGAAAGTAAAAAAAAAACGCCTGCATTGTGACCAGAGAAGACCTCTGCGTGAAAAAAGCTGTTTCCATGGCTCGAAGGTATTAAAATGACTGGTAGACAAAATTTCGCAGCTGAAACGATGTTTTTACACCGGCTCCCATCGAATGCAGTATTATATATGCACATATAATATAAGCACACTTTTTCTTGCCTTGAGAATGACATGTTTATATACGTCCTTAATTGAGCTTTATTTGCAGGTGACAAGGGATTAATTTTCATCTCAGCTCTTGGGAGCAAGGCCCAGACGTTTTCTCTGTTTTCTTTCTTCTTTGCTAATCATATATCAACTGATCCTTGAAGAGCGGAGCTAAAGGATCGTGTCATTTTGGATCATCCAAAATGACACGAATTCTTCAATTTTCAAAAGCAACTATAGATTTGACGTCATTTGATATATTTATTGTTTTAATGACTGCCTATACGACAGGATATTTTATTGTATCTTTGTTTGCTTATCAAGTTCGCGAAGCTTTTCATATATAATGCAATTTCCGAATGCGAGAAAGACTACAAAACAGCTGGAACAACTTAGTATTCACGGCGTAACCTGTTAACACACTCAAAAACACTTTCTGTGCATCTCTATTCATCTTTCGGACTCGTGTGTAGAAACATAAAAAAAAAGATCGAAAAACATCTTGTCTTGAACTGCTGCCTTCCGAGTGAAATTGCAAAACAACTGTTCTCGAAATTTACGCTATTCTTTTATTTTGATTAAGTTTCCCGTTGAGGTCATGTAGTTAAGTCGACTATATAGAAGTTATAATGTAATCGAACTAAATGAAAATCGTACAAAAATAAGAAAGCCCTGTCATATTTACAGACCGAGATTTAACTATTTATTCATTTCAAGATAAATGAACGAGCCTCACCGTATTTTCATATCTTTAACTGAAGGTCAACGCATTCGGAAGAAAACAAATAGGGCCGCGATTCACAGGGTCGGTTGGCGGTTTTTGATGGCTTTTCAAGGAATGAAGAAAAATATTTTGGTTTATTTTTACTAAGCACTCTTGTGTTGTTAGTTAGTATTGCCACCAGCTGGTCCATATAGTCCCTCTACTCGTGATGAGCGCAATTGCATTTTAATGAAGACGTGCGTAGGTCTTCACGTGTATTTCTGGTACGATTTCCTAGTGATCGGCTTTTTCCAAACACGTCATTAGCAACCATTGCATTTCGGATCTCGTGCAACAGAGTGATAACAGTATCCTATAATTTCTTAGTTCAGGTGGGGTACTATATGTATGTACTATATACCCTCTTTAAATAAAGTTTATTATTATTATTAGTTCAGGTGGGGTAGTCATGCTGGTAGTAAAGACCGGTGTTAATAAGACATATTTTTTAATGATAACTTTTTAAGGATTAGCGACTACTGCACAACCGTTCTTCTAATAAGACAGGAATTCCTGCTGATTGGAAATATGTTTATATTTTTCTTCACATGAACTGCTGCTCATATTAATTCAGAATTGAATAGGAGAACAAACCAATATTGCATGTTTTAGATATGTATGGAATACATTTTTAAAAAACTTGACAGTTCATATTAAACAACAAGTGTTTGCGTATACATTACGGTTTTACATAAAAATATATATATATCCATCATTATTCGAAGTATAAATATTAAAGCCCAACATAGTGCTTTCAGTAAAGCCATAAGAGACAATTAAACCATTTGAGAATAATAGGAATATATTTGGTAGTAACGTTTCGTCTTAACTTAAGACATCTTCAGACTAAATGATAAATTACATGATAATTTGAATATGTTAGACTAGTGATATATTTACAAGGTATCAATTTACAAAAGGTGATAACAAGGACAACGTAAGGACAAGCGGTACATGAGAGGACAAGGGGACAGAGACGTCACGACACGATGACAATACGAAGTAAGGACTAAAATAAATTGAGAGGGATAGAGTTGCCTTGAACATTAAGAGAAGGCTTAAGTTTGGTGATGAGGAGGAGACTCTCATGTATCATTAGCTCATCTGACTCTTATGAGCACTATGTTGGGCTTTAATATTTATACTTCGAATACGCTTCCCGCCCGGCACGTCTCTGGCAACTGTATTGAATATCCATCATTAATTTAAAGGTTTTAATTAAGATCTCTGCTATTAAAAATAGAAAAATTGTATTATGCAAGTATTTGCGTGCTTAGAAACAAATTGAAAATTTAAAGAATGTTTGTATGTTGACTGAATAAGACAAGGCAAACATTGCTCCAAGAAGTATTGTTCAAGATGCCGTTCGTTTTACGATATAAGCGGAATAGATTCGCGATCTGAGATGCAAACTTTCATTCATAAACGATGCCAAAACCTTGACTAAACTATGTGTAGTATGTGTAGACTTTACCTTCGTACAAAATCACTAAAATTTGCCAGTGCAGCCTCTCGA